CCCGGCCACTTATTGCACCCGTGAGTATTATTTGATTTAAAAAATATATGTATTATTGTTATTATTGTTATACGGGTGCTTGGTGGATAATTACATCGCATGGACGTTAGACGTGACGGCGGCTTGGGGAGGCCTCCATCCAGCAGTGGATTGACCATGGCTGCTGCTGCTGCTGCTGCTGCGGATGATGATGGTATGTAGATGCGTGCCCGCGGCGGGGTTCAATGCGCGTGTGTGGTCGATTGCGCACACACACGCGCATACACGCACACACACACGCACACACACATGCGCGCGCACACAGGCACACACACGCGCATACACAGGCGCACACGCACACACAGGCACACACACGCGCACACACAGGCGCACACACGCGGGCACACAGGCACATACACGCGCACACACACGCGCACACAGGCACACACACACACGCGCGCACACACGCGCGCACACACACGCGCACACACACACACGCGCACACACGCGGCACACACACGCGCACACACGCACACACACGCACACACACGCGCTCACACACGCGCACAAACGCACACACGCGCACACACAGGCACACACACGCGCACACACACACAGGCACACACGCGCGCACACACACACGCGCACACACACGCGCCCACACACACACACACACGCGGGCACACAGGCACATACAGGCACACACACGCGCGCACCCAGGCACACACACACTCAGGCACACAGGCACACACACGCACACACCCGCGCATACACACACACAGGCACACACGCAGGCATACACACAGGCACACAAACGCCCCCCCCCCCAGCCTCTTTTCACACTCCGCGTGGGATCTTCTGCTAAGCTTCCTTTCTCCAGCCCACCCGTCTTTTAAAGACACCACCACCACCGCCACCACAACCCCCACCCATCCCCTCCTTTCTCACCCACCCACCACAGCCCACGCGTACACCCAAACCCACCCAAACCCACCGCCCGCCCGCCTCGTCCTCCATCCGGCACAGAAGGCAAAGCGGGTGGTGGGTGGTGGTGGGGGTCTTAGGGGGGTGATAATCTATGTTAAGGGGTCAGCAAATGAGGGGGACAGAAGAGAAAGAATGTAAAAACACACGAGACGGAATGACAGGCGAGGTACAATGAAATCCCCCCCCCCTCCATCAGCGACCCCTCCCCCCCCTCTCCCCCACTCCCACCCCCTCCCCCCCCAGCCGTTATTGTCACACTGACAACCTCACACACACACACACGCACTGTGTGTGTGTGTGCGCGTGTGTGTGTGCGTGTGTGTGTGTGCCTGTGTGTGTGTGTGTGGGTGCGTGTGTGCGTGTATGTGTGCGCGCGTGTGTGCCGTGTGTGTGTGCGTGTGTGTGTGCGTGTGTGTGTGCGCGCGTGTGTGCGCGTGTGTGTGTGCCTGTGTGTGTGCGTGTGTGTGTGCGCGCGTGTGTGCGTGTGTGTGTGTGCGCGTGTGTGTGTGTGCGTGTGTGTGCGTGTGTGTGTGCCTGTGTGTGCGTGTGTGTGTGTGCGCGTGTGTGTGTGTGCGTGTGTGTGCCTGTGTGTGCGTGTGTGTGTGTGCGCGTGTGTGTGTGCCTGTGTGTGTGCGTGTGTGTGTGCGCGCGTGTGTGCGCGTGTGTGTGTGCCTGTGTGTGCGTGTGTGTGCGCGTGTGTGTGCGTGTGTGTGTGTGCGCGTGTGTGTGTGCGTGTGTGTGCGCGTGTGTGTGCCTGTGTGTGCGTGTGTGTGTGTGTGCGCGTGTGTGTGTGTGCGTGTGTATGTGTGCGTGTGTCTGAGGATGTATGCACGCGTGTGTGTTGGACTTCTTTCGTACCGTACATAGGCAAGCGTGCTCATCGGATGTGCGCATGTCGAGGGTAGCGGTGCAGCAGCTATGAACCCCGTCGATCCGGGATCGATTCTCGCTCACGGCCAGCACCGGTTACGATTTTCTTGAAGAGGTCCTGGGCCTCCCCTAGGTCGACTCAGCCTCAAATGAGTACCCGGTGCGGTGTGTTTAAAAACATGGGCCACTGGGGAGACAAAGGCGGCCGGAGGTGGTGATGGTCACCCACACCCTCGCGTGCCGTGCAGGCCTTGACAGGTGCTCGCTAACAGCACTTGCCCCAACAATCTGATGAGACTATGCGGAGAATATGTCTTCGTGTTGTACAAGGGGAGCGGTGGCGCAGTGGTTAGCGCACGACTATGATGCGCTACAACCCCGCTGGCCCGAGTTCGATTCACACTCGTGATCAATAAGAGTGGCGAATATTTGAACTGGTCCCCAATCCCCGCCCCCCCCCCCCCCCCCCCCCCCACTGGTCGACCCAACAACCTTCAATGAGTGCCTGGCGCGGTGAGCAAGCATCAACACTGGGGAGACAAAGGCGGCCGGGCGTGGTGCCAGACACACCACACCCCCATACGCGCCGCGATGGTCTTAATCCTACTTGAGCGGCACGGGCTCGAGAAGAGATGGAGTGATGCGGTACAGGAGGACGTGGAGCTAGAGAAGAGATGGAGTGATGTGCTACAGGAGGACGTGGAGCGGAGTGGACTTGCCGACGACTGGTACCAGCGGTGTCAAGATCGGCCTCTGTGGAGAAGGCTCGTGAAGGACGCTACTGGGCAGTTGGAGGCAGTCGCCCTCCAACAACAACGGAGGGCGGAGGAGCGACGCTCACAACAACGAGCGAAGCGCCGGGTGGATAAATCACAGCAAGTTGGCACAGTCGGGGGCACAGGTGGTGCATCAGCCAGTCATCTCAGTCGGTCGACCCGTGGCACCTGGGTCTGCCCCGTGACCTCCTGCCAGCGGGCGTTCGACACTTCACGTGGCCTCAAGGTGCACATGGCCTGGCACAAGCGTCGTGGTGATGTCACCGCCGCTTAGTGGCGAATGGCGGTTGTTGTTGTCGTTTATTGGCTTGTATGTCTGTGTGTGCGTGAGCTTGTGTCCGCAAATGGGGAGCGGTAGGGTAGTGTTTAGCGCGCTGCGCTACGAACCCGCCTACCCGGGTTCCACTCACGACTCCTGGGCCTCCCCTAGGTCGACTCAGCCTCAAATGAGTACCTGTTGCTGTGTGTGAACATCGCCACTGCCTGGCCACCCCCTTGCGCCGTGCCCGCTCTCAACGGGTGCTACTCGCCAGCAGCACTTGCCCCAAGCGTCTGTTGAGGCTATACGGGGCATCTTTGTCCTTGTTTATGTCTGTATGCTTGTCACACCTCCCTAAGAATCCCTTTCTCCCGAGCCGACTGCATTCATCCCCCCCTCCCCTCTCTCTACCGCTCCCTTCTCCACCCTCGTTCTGCGGGCGAGTGGGTGACGATGCGACTGGCAGGCGGGCGGGATGACTGAGTGACTGCCGCGTGTGTGACTTTGTAGCTGAGCGTGGAGGTGGCTGCGTGGGTGACTGCGGGGGCGACGTGGATGGTCGAGTGGCTGAGTGGGTGAGCGAGTGTGTGAGTTGGTGGGGTGGGTGAGCGAGTGAGCGAGTGACAGTGTGTCTGATCAGGTCGATGGGTGACTTGGGAGTGGGTGACTATGTTATTTGGTGTGTGTATGTGACCGAGTGAATGACTGTACGGTTACTCGAGTGGTCATCTGGTTTATTTCGTGAGTGAGTGCATGAGTTGCTGGGTGAGCAATTGAGTAAGTGAACGGGTGAGTGTGTGAGTGAATGGATGGCTGAGTGAGTGGGTGAGTGGATGGGTGAGCGATTGAGTAAGTGAACGGGTGAGAGGGTGAATGAGTGGATGGCTGAGTGAGTGGGTGAGTGGATGGGTGAGTGAGCGAGTAAATGAATGAGTGAGTGTGTGAATGGATGGCTGAGTGAGTGGGTGAGTGGATGGGTGAGCGATTGAGTAAGTGAACGGGTGAGAGGGTGAGTGAGTGGATGGCTGAGTGAGTGGGTGAGTGGATGGGTGAGCGATTGAGTAAGTGAACGGGTGAGAGGGTGAGTGAGTGGATGGCTGAGTGAGTGGGTGAGTGGATGGGTGAGTGATCGAGTAAGTGAATGGGTTAAAGGGTGAATGAGTGGACGGCTGAGTGAGTGGGTGAGTGGATGGGTGTGTTATCGAGTAAGTTAATGGGCGAGTGTGTGAGTGAGTGGATGGCTGAGTGAGTGCGCGTGTGGCTGGGTGAGTGATTGAGTAATTGGATGAGTGAGTGTGCGAGTGGGGTATGTGGGTAATTCACCGGGATGGTGAACACACTGTGAGCACACTGTGGGGGCCCCCCACTGCTCTTCAATAGGGAGTTAGACGGTGGGGGGGGGGGGGGGGACGTACCCCCACCTCATCCTCCACAGGATCACCACGCATGTGACAGTAGCCAGCTAGCTGAGTGTGGAAGCTGAGCGCGTGAGTCGCATGCGCGCCGGCTGGTTGTGTTCTTGACGGCTGAGCGAGTGGCAGAATGAATACGCAGGCGCATTGGTGGATGGGTTGTTGAGTGACTGGCTGGTTTGGCGAGTGAGACGGCTACTCTCCGGCTGGCTGTCTTTGTATCTAAGCGCGGCAGGTGGCTTGACTGGGTGAGAGAGTCAATGACTGACCCGTTACCAGTGGGAGTGACCGTCATTACTGGCTGTGCAGTTATTCGGATTTCTACAAATATGTCTCACGTGTCGGTGAGCGAGCGAGCGAGTGGGTGAGTCAGCGAATGAGCGACTACCTCGCCTGGCTGTGTTGATCGCAGGAGTGATGACGGTTGTTTGAGTGACGAGTGGGCGATCGGGTGAAGCGGACCGGTTGTGTTAGCGTTGCCCTGTGGAGCCGTGTTGTTGGTGAGTGTGGGTGGGGTGGGTGGGTGGGCAGGGATTGTCGGCATTGGTGGGAGGGATGTGTTAAGCCCCCCCTCCCCCCGAGTCGTCCTTATCCCCCAACTCCACAACTGCCCCCCACGTCTCCCTCCATACCCCCTCTGCCCCCTCTCTGGCCAAAGTCCCGTGTCTCGCATCCCTCGGGAAAAGGGATTCAGTGAGGTCTGTTGATTGACTCGTGGTTGAGTGCGTGGGTGAGGGAGTGAGGGGTGGGTGACTTCGTGGGTGACTGAATGGACGAGTGGGCGTCGGAGTGACTGGCGGGCGAGTCGACGGGCGAGGGAGTGTCTGGTGAGTGACTAAGTGGATAGGTGACTGGGTCGGTGGGTAGGTGATCGAATGACTGGCCGGTTGGATGTGTGGCTGTACCGTTCACTGGTAGGTGGCTGAGCGAGCGAGTTTATCGGTGCGCCTTCGAGCGGCTGACTTGCGGGGGTGACTGAATGAATGACTGAGTGAGCAAGTAGCTGACTGCCCTGCTACTGCAGTTGCTGCTGTATTGCGTGCGTGGATGGCAATGTCCGTGCTTGCTTGCCTGAGCCGGTCGAGTGGGTGGTGGGTGGGTGGTTGAATTTGCCCTGTGCCTGAGCGACTGCGTTCGTGGTAGCACGGTGGTTGGATGGGCAACGCATTGTCCGCACTGGTGGGAGGCATGTATTCCCTCCACCCCCCACCCCATCACAGTATGACCTCCCCCCCCCCACCACCACCTCCTCTCTCCACCAGCACCACCACCACCCACGCCCCGTCTCCCCTCTCTCCCCATGTCATCCCCGTCTGCACGTGGAATCGCCACAAGCAGCCGCTCGTCGCGGGGGGCACACGAAGCGAGTCGGCGAAGCCACCCAGTGTAAGTCATTCTCTCTCTCTCGCTCTCGCCCTCCAGAGCTCCGTGTGATGTCGCCCCGCGCTGCAAGCACGTCGCGTCGTTCTTTATTTTTCTCTCTCGCTCGCTCGCTTCCTATTTTTTTTCATCCGTCTCGCATGCTTCTCTATTTATTTATTTCACTTAACTTTACTTCCAGCACAATTATCATTTGAACCTTTATACAGTTATTTAATGCTTTGTGAGCGCGGGTCTCTGTGTGTGTGCGTGGCTGTGGGCAAGAGTTGATGTTGTTTTGCGCGTGTGTGCGTGGGGGGAGCGGTGGTGCAGCGGTTAGCGCGCTGCGCTGCGAACCTGGCGGCCCAAGTTCGTTTCCCGCTCACGGCCAACACCGGTGACAATTTGCCGAACCGGTCCTGGGCCTCCTCCCCTAGGTCGACTCAGCCTTAAATGAGTACCTGGTGCGGTGCGTAAAAACATCGCCGTGGTGCTGGCCACCCACCCCCTCGTGTATCGTTCTGGCCTTCACAGGTGCTACTCGCTAACAACACTTGCCCCAACAGTCTGTTAAGGCTACACGGGATATGTTTTTGTCTTTGTGTTCAAGAGTTGAGCTGTTGTTTTGGGTGTGTGTGTCACTGCGCTACGAACCCGCCGACCCGAGTTCCATTCCTGGTTATGAATGGGCATCCTCCCCTACCAAGGTCGAATTGACCCCTGCGCAAGTTTGCGCAAACATCTGCGCTGGGAAGACAAAGGTGGTACCGGCCTTCATAGTTGCTCGTTAACAGCACTTGCCCCAACGGTGTTAGAAAGCTATCCGGGGCTTCTTTGTCTTTGCATGTAATTTAGTTCGTGCTATAAGTACATGTAAAAGTGTACGTGTGTGTGTGTGTACACAGTTTTATGTACACATACGCAGTAACTGTGCGTGCATGTACACGTGCAGCATAAGCTCGTGCGAATGCATTGTGTGTCTCTGCGTAGCTACACGTGGCTGGTGAGTAATATGTCACGATTTGGTTCCTTTTGACTTAAAACTTTCGTGACTGCAGGATTTCATATTCTTGGTTCTTTCGGTAAAGTCACGTGGAGAGAAAAAGTGTTGCGATCGAAACGTCGTGGGGTTTTTTTTTGCTGTTATCATTTAAAAATATTTGAATTTATTTTTAATATTTTTATTTTCTTTTTTTTTACGTGACTTTACCGAAAGAACCAATAATATTTGGTTCCTGGCCCTCCCCTAGGTCGACTCAGCCTCAAATGAGTACCTGGAGTAATGTGTAAACATCGCCACTGGGGAGACAAAGGCGGCCGCGCTCGTTGCCGGCCACCCACCCACCCCCTCGTGTGCCGTGCGGGCATCGGGACGGGGGGGGGGGGTGGAATCTTTGTCTTTGTCCAAACGTGGGGGGAGCGGTGGCGCAGCGGTTAGCGCACTGCGCCACGGGCGCGTGCGATCTTGAGCCGCCCGCCCGCCCCCACGCCGCTCACGGGTCTTCGAGACACCTCCCACGCTCACCGGCGTGGGGAAGTATGGCCAAACGACAACACCCTCGACAACCGAGCGGCCGTGGGAAGTCGGAGGCATTCGCCAAGTGCGCAAGCATCACCACTGGGGAGACAAAGGCGGCCGGGCGTGGTGCCAGACACACCACACCCCCATACGCGCCGCGATGGTCTTAATACTACTTGAGCGGCACGGGCTAGAGAAGAGATGGAGTGATGTGGTACAGGAGGACGTGGAGCTGAGCGGACTTGCCGACGACTGGTACCAGCGGTGTCAAGATCGGCCTCTGTGGAGGAGGCTCGTGAAGGACGCTACTGGGCAGTCACGGGACATCGTCCAGGCCGATGTTGTCGAATGTCAACAATGGCAGTAAGCCAAGCTGGACGATGCTCTCCTTTCGAACATCCGTACGTTCCCGAGATTGTCCACTCGACCTGTTGAGTGATGTACGTCCTTGTTCAGATGTGCATCATCACGATCAAATGTTGCGTACAACTACGGACCCATGCCACCCATAGCGTACCAGGGGTGAGCGTCTGCGAGAAGATGTTGGAACCCTTTCTGGCAATATACACATCTGGTCGTTCTCCAGTAATGATTCGGTGTGCACTTTCGCGTTGTGCACAGAAACAAGATTGCACTTAACCTCGACTGAAACTATTTCTGTTCAACTATTTATTTGTTTTCATTTTACCATTCTCGATTTGAAGCTTTCGTGACTGCAAGGATTCGGTAAAGTCACGTAGGTAGAAATGATAATAATAATAAAATAAAATAATAATAAATGAAAATAACTCAATTAAATCACGACGTTTCAGAGGCAACACAAGTCTCCGTCTTCAGGTGGTTAAGATCTTGTCTCTTGGATTTCTCTTCACTTGATACAGTAAATGTAGCTGTGACGGTCCCACCTGAAGACTGAGACTTATGTTGCCTCCGAAACGTCGTGATTTTATTGAGTTATTTTCACTTACTATTATTTTATTATTATTCATTTTACCAGTTGTAATATCCCATTGAGCCTAACACGGCGCACTTATAAAAAGCGGCCTGGCTGAACGAGATGGCTTATCCCGTGGAAATGTATAGCAGCCAAACACGCTGTAAACGACAGGCATGGCTAATATACATTCGTGAGTGCCGGATTGATGTATCAGAAAGAACAAAAAACGAACTGAAGATGTATTTATTTAGACCGGCGGGATCCGATGAGCTATGAAGCTATTTTTGCACGGATGTCCTGTAACATTCTAACGACGTTCTCGACGGCATATAGAGCTGACATTTGACACGGATATAGTTGACTCTATGCTTATTACAACAACAAAACATATTTAATAGATTTTATTTTATTTTTTAAATGTACGCCCCACCCCAGCCCCCCCCCCAATGACACAACCGCAATGAGTGAAGTATGTCCTGCAACACATTCCTGCGGAGGGAGCTGGTAGAAACGTTGGGTTGCTCGGTCAATGGCCAGGGTCAACGGCGGCGTGGTGTATTCCGCAAATATGGCCGACTGTGAGGGCGGGCACAAGCCGGCGTGAGTAGGTTTAACGTTGAGTTTTATAAGGGCACCACGGGGTGACCAGCCCCTCCCCACCCAGCCCCACCCCACCCAGCCCCACCTCACCCAGCCCCACCCTCCCCACCCAGCTCCTCCCCACCCTCCCCTCTTCACCCAGCCCCACCACTCCCATTTTTGGATGCACGACGGACGGACGGACACAATAATCCCCTGTGGGCTGGTGTAACCAGTAGGTTTCTACCAGTATAATCCATCTCGTACCAGATGCGGCCACCGCAATGGAATTCTTATTATTTCGTACGGGCTGGAAGGCTGCTGCCGATGCAGAGACAACAGCTACGAGTTCACGTGCAGCTAGTCAAGCTCGGACGACCGCGTCACTGGTAGGAGTTGATCATCATCGCTGCGATGTCTCTATCAGTCTATTGCGTTTCTAATGGATCTCGATGAGTCTGCGGATCTCTACGAGGTCTTCGAGTCTCTGTGCGTCTCTATTGGTCTGCATCTCTGTGGGTATCTGTGAGCCTCGATTGAAAGCTTTCGTGACTGCAGGGATTCATATTCTTGGTTCTTTCGGTAAAGTCACGTAGAAGGGAAATAATACAATTTAATTTTCAGTGAGAATTTTATTTTATTATGTTTTATTCTTATTATTTTATTTCCCTTCTACGTGACTTTACCGAAAGAACCAAGAATATGATTCTGTGAGTCTCTTCATCTTCTTATTCCGTGTGGCTGCTGATGTCGACGGAGAGGCAACAGCAGCTACAAATGTCACGTTTCAGGTGGTCACGCACAGATAATTCACTGGTCAACAAAAAAAAATTCTGGCCTGGACTTTTGCAGCTGTTTTAGACTAATTTCAGGGTGCTGATTCCAAATCTGATCTCATATTTGCTCTATCACATCTCATTTTTATGCTATCGGCATACCCCATTTTCATTGATTTTACCCGAAATTAACTCTGTCACTTATGATTGCAAGTTGTTGCGAGTCAGTGACTGCTTTAGTGTTAAAATATGGTGCTGTATTTTTAGGATAGTGTGTTTATAATATAATTTTATGTAGATATCCACATTTATTTAATATTTTTCTTCTGCAGTTTTTATTGAAAATGCAATATTTGATATCTCAAAAACCTGATGTGATAGACAAAAACTGATGCCAGATTTGGAATCAGCACCCCAAAATTACCTTAAAACCCTTTGGAATACCTTATGCCAGAAAAAGTGTGTTGACCAGTAATCGGCGTCAGGAGTACTATCATCGTCGCTGCGTTGTCTCCTTCTTGGTGTTTGTGGATCGGGCGCATGGCGTGACATTACATTTGCGGATACTTGCTGCATAAATGGGACATTACAAAAAAAAACTTCGCCCAATGTTGCGACTGTGGTCATCCAGAACCGAGCTTGCAAGTCGCCTCCTCAATTCCATCTCCTGCCGCTGCAGTCTAAACAATCGTGCAAGATGCTTAACGCCCCCCCCCCCCCCACTCTGCCCCCCCCACTCACATCGCTTCTGTCCACCCGGAAGTCTAAATGGGTTCGCCAGGTTGCGCATGGCCAAGTGAACTGTGAGTACTCGCCGCTTCTCCCTTCCACGACGTCTGGGCCGGCGTGGAAGAGTAGGCCAACTGCCCTCTCAGAGTCGAGGCCTATCCACCAACAGTGGCGTAGAGCGAGCACTTGCAGGGGCTGCGCCTCTAACTTTAGATGTTCCACCGCCTTCCAAACCCACGCTCGCTCCCTCCCTCGTTCCCTCCAACCCAGCCGCCCTGCAGGAGTAAAGTGCAGCTGTGTAAGGGGGAGAGAGAGAGAGTGGGAGAGAAGGTGGGGGGGAGGAGTGGGAGGAGGAGGGGGGGTGGATGAATTATTAACAGAGTTTCTTTAGCATTTGCGGTGATCTCTCCCCCCCTCCTCACCATCACCCCCACCACCCCACCGCTAAGGGTCACATCGAGTCACAATCACGGCCAATGAGGCAACGCCTCCGTCACGGTGAGCGAGCGATTACAGCGCCATTGCCGATTGTTGGCCGGTGAAGCGCGCGGTTCGAATGGGGGCGGCGGCCCTGGATAATTGGAAGGCGCGGGAGCGTCAATAAGCGATCGTTAAAGCGCGCGCCGACTGATTCACGGTGGGACGTTGAAGATCCAGCGGCGTCCTTCGACGATGAGTTGCCCATTGGGGCGAGCACGTCACTGCCCTGCTAAGTCCCACAAACCGAACGCGTTAAGACGAAGATCTTCTCCCTTCCCCGTATGGCCTCGAACATAGACTGTCGGGGCAAGTGCTGTTAGCGAGCAGCACCTATGAAGGCCGCACACGAGGGGGTGGGTGGCCAACACCACGCCCGGCCGCCTTTGTCTCCCCCAGTGGCGATGTTTACCCACCGCGCACCAGGTACTCATTTGAGGCTGAGTCTACCTAGGGGAGGGCCCAGGACCGGTTCTGATAATCGTCACCGGCGTTGGTCGTGAGCGGGAATCGAACTCGGGCCGCGGGGTTCGTAGCAAAGTGCGCTAACCGCTGCACTACCGCGCACACGCACACGTGCACACACACATACACGTGCACTCACACACACGTGCACACAAACACACACGTGCAAACACAAAAGTGCACACACACCCACATACACACACGTGCACACACACCCACACGGGCACACACCCACACGTGCACACACACGTGCACACACACCCACACGTGCACACACACACGTGCACTCACACACACGTGGTACACACACACGTGGTACACACACACGCACACGTGCACACACACATACACGTGCACACACGTGGTACACACATACACGTGCACACACATACACGTGCACACACACACACGTGGTACACACACACGTGGTACACACACATACACGTGCACACACACGTGGTACACACACACATACACGTGCACTCACACATACGTGCACACACACGTGGTACACACACACACACTCTTGCACACACACGTGGTACACACACACACGTGCACACACACGTGGTACACACACACACACGTGGTACACACACACACGTGTTATCAAGAGCAGAGTGCAAGCGGAAAGGGCGCCGAGTCGGATCCACGGGTGCACAGCGGCGAGTGATAAACCAGCTCGTGGATATTAGACAAGAGGCCACGGCGTGCTGATTAAGCATGGTCATAAATACGTAACAAAACCTACTAGAACGAGCACTGGGGAGACAAAGGCGGCCGGGCGTGGTGTTGTTCATCCACCTCGGCTCGTGAGCCGGATCGCCGTGAAGGCGTTAGTGAATATTTGAATCCGACTGCGTCGACGCATTTCTCTATTTTGCAAATCAGCTCAAGCCTAGATCACGTGATTCCCGTGTGCCCACGCCCCCAACTCTGAAGCCCCTCCCACTTTCCTCCTCCCCGCCGCCCACTGTGAAAACAGACGCCGCTTCTCCTCCGCGCCAAAGCCGACTGAAGAGTCCCATAGCTCGCAAGGTGCTTCGAAATAAACCGAGCTGAACTGAGCGGCAACGACGCCCTGATGCATCCTCCCCTTGCTCCTTATCCTCCTCCTCCTCATCCTCCTCCTTATCCTCCTCCTCATCCTCCTCATCCTCCTCCTCCTCCTCCTCATCCTCCCCCTCATCCTCCTCCTCATCCTCCTCCTCATCCTCCTCCTCCCCCTCATCCTCCTCCTCATCCTCCTCCTCATCATCCTCCTCATCATCATCATCCTCCTCATGCTCCACCTCCTCCTCCTCATCCTCCTCCTCATCCTCCTCATCCTCCTGCTCTCTCATCATCATCCTCCTCCTCATCCTCCTCCCTCTCCTCGTCTCTCCTGACCCATGTCCTCTCATTTCTGTATTGTATAAGGATTGTTATTGGGATCAAACATCGAAATGGATTTTTTTTGCACTTTTTGTACGCAGCATGGACGGGTGGTGCTTCTTCTGTACGATTTTATTGTTCATGTACGTGATTTTGATTTAAAGCTTTCGTGACTGCAGGGATTCAAATTCTTGGTTCTTTCGGTAAAGTCACGTAAAAGGGAAAAAATAAAATAATAAAAATAAAACATTTTAACACGTAGGCTTTCGCGACCAATGTTATTCATAATCAACGTTTTTGGGTTTAGATCGCGTTTATTTATAAATGTGTCGTAACCCTCCACCACCCGACACGGCCAATCAGTAAAAAAGTGTCACGTTGACAAAGACAAATAGTTCACTGCTTTAGCCCACCGGTGTGTTGAAGCCACAACAAAGCCGACTGAAGAGTCCCATAGCTCGCAAGGTGCTTCGAAATAAACCGAGCTGAACTGAGCGACAACGACGCCCTGATGCATCCTCCCCTTGCTCCTTATCCTCCTCCTCCTCATCCTCCTCCTCATCCTCCTCCTCCTCCTCATCCTCCCCCTCATCCTCATCCTCCTCCTCATCATCCTCCTCATCATCCTCCTCATCATCATCATCATTTACAATTTGAGTACTCAAATTGTAAATGTTGTGGCTTCAACACACCGGTGGGCTAAAGCAGTGAACTATTTGTCTTTGTCAACGTGACACTTTTTTACTGATTGGCCGTGTCGGGTGGTGGAGGGTTACGACACATTTATAAATAAACGCGATCTAAACCCAAAAACGTTGATTATGAAAAATAAAACATAATAAAATTTAATTCTCACGACGTTTCGGCCACAACGCAAGCAGCCGTCCTCAGGTGAAGAACAGGTCTGTCGGAAAGACAGCGTCTGAATGAACACCACCAAGCTTGGCAGCGTATATTTAAGCTGGGTTGGAGGGGGAAGGGCGCCTTGACAAAGGAATTAGCATATCAAGACAGCAGCAGAGGTTAGTGTAAATGCATTATGTTTAATTTTTATTGTTTTATTATTTCCCTTCTACGTGACTTTACCGAAAGAACCAAGAAGATTAATTCTATATCTATTTAAAGTTGCGCATTTTGATCAACCCCCCCCCCCCCACTCGTCACACATCGTCACAAATGTCTGACCCTCCCCCCCAGGTGCGTGACGTAATTTATGGACGGCCCCTTATTATATTAAATTATAATTATGTGACCTTTGTGATGATGGCTGAAACTGCTCGTCTGCAATGTAGTGCTGTGCATGTTGACTTTATCGGAGGTGCGGGGGAACGGAATCAAACTGAACGCAACGAGGCAGTTCTAAAGACGCGAGTTGTCACCCCAGGTGATTTAAAAGTGCCACAGCTCCCGGCGTGCTTGCGCATATCGGAAAGGAAGGGAGCGTTCCAGACGGCCGCCGAAGCGACGCATCTGCCTGGACGGTGCGGGCGGCAGCCAAATCTATTTTTGGTTCTTTCGGTAAAGTCACGTAGAATGGAAATAATAAAAGAATAAAAATAAAACGTAATTAAATAATTCTCACGACGTTTCGGCCACAACGCAAGCAGCCGTCCTCAGGTGAAGAGCAGGTCTGTCAGAAAGACAGCGTCTGAATGAACACCACCAGGCTTGGCAGCGTATATTTAAGCTGGGTTGGAGGGGGAAGAGCGCCTTGACAAAGGAATTTGCATATCAAGAGGAATTTAGCATATCTTGATGTGCAAATTCCTTTGTCAAGGCGCTCTTCCCCCTTCAACCCAACTTAAATATACGCTGCCAAGCCTGGTGGTGTTCATTCAGACGCTGTCTTTCTGACAGACCTGTTCTTCACCTGAGGACGGCTGCTTGCGTTGTGGCCGAAACGTCGTGAGAATTATTTTATTATGATGAATTTTTATTATTTCATTATTTCCATTCTACGTGACTTTACCGAAAGAACCAAGAAAATGAATCCCTGCAGTCACGAAAGCTTTAAATCGAAATTTAAATCTATTTTTGTTCGATGGCCGAACCCGAAAAACGCCGTCGCTGCTGCCGCTGCTGCTGCTGCTGCTTCTGCTGCTTCTGCCACGAGGGATGATGAGCGCGGAGGAGTCTCGCGTGGGTCGATGATTTGTGCTCCTTGACGAGATTCGGGCAGCGAGGTGATTCGTGCGCTCCGTTTGCGGCGTGCGCTTGTGCGCTCAGCGAGTGGGCAAATATAGAACGCGCTGATGTTTGTGACCTCCCCCCCCTCTCTCTCACGTCATTTGCTTACTCCCCACACCCCCACCCCCCACGCAGGAGTCACTGCCACGAATCGTTAAGGTGCCGGGCTGAGCACGGAGCAGAGGTGGTGAGAGAGAGAGGAGGAAGAGGGAGGAGGAAGAGAGAAGACTGAAAACAACAGCACGTAGCATATTGCGGGGAGTAGAGAGGAGAGAGAGTGGGGGAGGGGGTTAGAGAGGGAGGTGGGAGAGACGGGAGGCGAGAGGGTGGTGGGGGGGGAGTGGGAGACGGACGGACACAGCAACGGCGAAGAACGAATCGAGCGATATCCACTGCAGAGGACGACTGCCGCGTCTCTGGCGACTGAGCGAGACTCGGAGACACCCAGAAGGAAGGTGCAGCTATTAAACTGGCGGAGAAGCAGATCTCGTGAGCGACGCAGAACGACTGATAAGTGACTGACAGACAGACACGCGTACAGGGCAACATTGAGACAGGCACAGAGAGAGAGCCAGAGAGAGATATCAATCTGAGAATATTTAGATACTGAGACACGGATAGACATCGGGGTAAAGAGAGTACACATACACACACTGACACACACACTGACAGACACACACTGACACACACACACTGACACACACACACAGTGACACACACACACACTGACACACACACTGACACACACACACACACACTGACACACACACACACTGACACACACACACTGACACACACACACACTGACACACACACACACACTGACACACACACACTGACACACACTAACACACACACACACTGACACATACACACTGACACACACACACACTGACACTGACACACACTGACACACACACACTGACACACACAGACACACACACACTGACACACACACACACACACTGACACACACACACACTGACACACACTGACACACACACACTGACACACACACACTGACACACACACACTGACACACACACTGACACACACACACACTGACACACACACACTGACACACACACACACTGACACACACACACTGACACACACACACTGACACACACACACTGACACACACACTGACACACACACACTGACACACACACACTGACACACACACTGACACACACACACGGACACACGGGGCCGGCATGGCTCTTCTCGCGCTCTGCATCGTCGCTGCTCTGTGCAGTAGCCGCGCGCTCCTGGCCGCGCGTCCCTCCTCTTCCTCCTCCTCCGCCGCGGGCCGCGGGTCCGTAGGGTCCGGGTTGGGCTCCGGCCCGGGGCTGGCCTCGGTGCCCAACTCCGGGTTGGGGATGGGGGGGCCGCTGCGTCGGAGAGGAGAGGGAGGAGGCGGAGGAGGAGGTGGAGGAGGTGGTGGAGGAGGAGGAGGTGGAGGAGGAGGTGGAGGAGGATCCCGGGGGGGATCAGCCGGCGGTCCAAATCGTTCTCTGCAACAACAGCAACAGAAGCAGAAGCAGCTACAGCTGCAGCTGCAGCAGCAGCAGCAGCAGGCGGGGTCGGGCGGTAGCTCCCCGGACCCGTGCTACAACGAAAGCGGCCACCCGCGCCGCTGCATCCCCGACTTCGTGAACGCGGCGTTCGAGATGGAGGCGCGCGCCAGCAGCACGTGCGGGAGCCCCCCGTCACGGTGACCCCCCCCCCCTCCCCTTGCCCCCCCCCCTCCCCTTGCCCCCCCCCTCCCCTTGCCCCCCCCCCCCCACACACTCCTCCCTACTGTCCACTCCCGGTGACGACCCCCTCCCCCCACTGTTGGTGTTGAGCTCCCCCCTTCGACTAGCGAGCCCTCTCCCCCCTTCCCCGTGCCCCCCCCCACCGCTCCCCATCCTATTCCCGTGATCCCCCCCCCGGCTCCCCTGCCGAGCTATAGTATTTGTAGGGGGCAGTAGGATGCGTAGCAGCAGCAGTAGCAGCAGCAGTAAGCGGCGCTCGTTCAACACGCACGTGAATGGGAGCGCCTCTGGTGGCTGATATGGCGAGAAGTCCACTTCGATATGCCGTGACTCGACAATGAATATCATTGATGTTCATATCATGATTAGACTCAGAGAGAGAGAGGGGACGACTCAGAGAGAGAGGACGACTCAGAGAGATAGAGGACGACTCAGAGAGAGAGAGGACGAATCAGGGAGAGAGAGAGGGCGACTCAGAGAGAGAGGGGACGACTCAGAGAGAGAGAGAGGACGACTCAGAGAGAGAGAACGACTCAGAGAGAGAGAGGAGGACTCAGAGGCGCCAGGAGGAGGACGATGAAGCACAGATGAGCGGGAAGGCAGCAGCAGCTGCAGCAGCAGCGCCGACGCAAAATCCCACCCCCAGGCTCTGCGGTCCTCTATACATGAAGGCGTTCTTGGCCACTGAATGAACGTTTACGTTTGGGAGTAAATCAGAGCACCCGGAGAAAACCCTCGCGTGCAAGGGGGCAACGCTCTATCCCGTACAAATGGAACGGGCGGATCCCAATGCCTCGTTCTTGTGCCGCCTTCTCCTGTCACAGCCACGGAAAGAAAGTTTCACTCAACGTCTCTGTGTGTGCGCGCGCGCGTGACCCACCAACCCCTCGCTGCCGCTTCCGCACACGGTGCTGGGCTACAGGCAGCCGCGTGCAGCAGTAGGAGCAGCAGCAGCAGCGTGAGTCGCGGCTAGCGCACGAGCAGCAGCGGGCAGGTCGTCCAAGGCAGTGCTTTATTGTGAATATCATCATCATCAGCATCATCATCAGCAGCAGCATCAGCAGCAGCAGCAGCAAGATCATCGTCATCTTCAATTACGAGTAACATCCGCAGCATTGGCGGCAGTGGGGTGAGGCAGCAGCTAGCAGCAGCAGCAATCAACCTCGTGTCATCCGCGTCGTCACGGCAGTCACTTTCCACGTCCCGTCCCCCCACTCGCAATCTTCCGCAGGTATTGCTCCTCTATCTCCTCCTCATCCTCCTCCTCATCCTCCTCGGGTCCTTCCGGAGGCGATGGCCGGGGCCACATCCTCGCCGGCGCTGCTGCTGCTGCGGCTGCAACGGGAGGAGGAGGAGGATCCGTCGGCGTCGGCTGCCGCATCTGCGACTCGTCCGACCCGCGCGGCGCCCACCCTCCCTCGCTGCTCACCGACCTCCACAACCCGCACAACGCCACGTGCTGGCTGTCCGAGGCGGGCCTGTCGCCCGGCCAGAACGTCACCCTCGTGGTGCCTCTGGGCCTCAAGTACGAGGTGACCTTCGTGAGCGTCCAGTTCTGCACGCCGCTGCCGCCCGACTCGCTCGCCATCTACAAGTCCATGGACCGCGGCAAGACGTGGGTGCCCTTCCACTTCTACTCGAGCCAGTGCCGACGCGTGTTCGGGCGGCCGCACCGCGGCACCGTCACCAAGATGACCGAGCAGGAGGCGCTGTGCACCGACGCGCACCTGTCCCAGGGCCTCGTGGCATTCAGCACGCTGGACGGGCGTCCGTCGGCCAACGATTTCGCCAACAGCCCCGTGCTGCAGGACTGGGTGACGGCCACCGACATCAAGGTGGTGCTGGTCAAGCCGTGGAGCAATTTGGCCGGGGGGTCGTCATCGTCCTCGGCATCATCATCATCCTCCTCCTCCTCCGGCGGGGTCATCGGCGGCGTCGTCTCGCCTGGGTCAACAGCCGGCGGCGGCGGCGCCGTCAGCAACGAGCTGGCGGACGGAACGCCTCCAGAGAGTCGCTACCACGGCGTGGCCGACATCCAAGTCGGGGGCCGCTGCCGCTGCAACGGGCACGCGTCGCGGTGCGGCCGCGACCGCGACGGGGCGGCCGCGTGCGAGTGCCGCCACAACACGGGCGGGCCCGAGTGCGACTCGTGCCGAGCATTCCACCACGACCGGCCCTGGCAGAGGGCCACGAGCAGAGATGCCCACGAGTGCGTCGGTGAGTCGGCGGCGGCGGTGGTGGTGAGTGTGGTGGTGGTGAGTGTGAGAGTGGTGGTGGTGAGTGTGAGAGTGGTGGTGAGTGTGAGAGTAGTGGTGGTGAGTGGTGGTGGTGAGTGGTGGTGGTGAGTGCGGTGGTGGTGAGTGTGAGTGGTGAGTGTGTGAGTAGTGGTGGTGGTGGTTGTGTGAGTGTGGTGGTGGTGGTGGTGTGAGTGTGGGAGTGGTGGTGGTGGTGGTTGTGTGAGAGTGGTGGTGGTGAGAGTGGTGGTGATGAGCGTGGGAGTGGTGATGGTGGTGAGTGTGAAAGTGGTGGTTGTGGTGAGTGTGAGTGGTGGTGGTGGTAAGTGTGAGAGTGGTGGTTGTGGTGAGTGTGAGTGGTGGTGGTGGTGAGTGTGAGAGTGGTGGTGAGTGTGAGAGTGGTGGTGGTGGTGGTTGTGAGAGTGGTGGGAGTGGTTGTGGTGGTGAGTGTGGGAGTGGTGGTGGTTGTGTGAGTGGTGGTGGTGGTTGTGTGGTTGGGATTAAACGCAGCAAGTTGTCACAGTGCTGGGGCACAGCTGCTGCATCTGCCTGTCATCTCAGTCAGTCAACCCACGGCACCACCTGGGTCTGTCCCGTGATCTCCTCCTGCACCTAGCCTGGCACAGCAGTCAACCCACGGCACCACCTGGGTCTGTCCCGTGATCTCCTCCTGCACCTAGCCTGGCACAGCAGTCAACCCACGGCACCTGCTGGGTCTGCCCCGTGACTTCCTCCTCCGGCACCTAGCCTGGCACAGCAGTCAACCCACGGCATCTGCTGGGTCTGCCCCGTGACTTCCTCCTCCTGCACCTAGCCTGGCACAGCAGTCAACCCACGGCACCACCTGGGCTTGTCCCGTGACCTCCTCCTGCACCTAGCCTGGCACAGCAGTCAACCCACGGCACCTGCTGGGTCTGCCCCGTGACTTCCTCCTCCTGCACCTAGCCTGGCACAGCAGTCAACCCACGGCACCACCTG